GGGGAAAACGCCGGGCAACTTTGTCCCAACCCCCTACGAGCACATGCCAGCAAACCGAGCTGGCGGTCAGCCCGGAGAGAATAAATCGCACCCCAATTCAAGACGCAACGAAAATGTCACGAATTTCGGCGCCAGGAAAGGAGTGAGACGAGCGTGGGCGGCACATACCCTCAGGATAGGGCCAGCACCACCGCCAAGAACAAGTTAGCCGTCTAAGGCTTCACCCGTCGTGGAGTGGAGGCCACGCTCAGCCTTATTCAGCTTCCTGGTTTGCTTATCCCTGGTGGACGGGACCGCGGAAGGGCCACGACACATCTCCTGGAGGGCACGCGGGACCCCATGGGGCAAGATCAGGAAGCCAGAACATCGCGAACAAATAAAGACACGGCCGAATCGCTTCATGGCGTGCCGGCAGTTGGAAAATTCACGTATCGCTGCCTCGCCATCGCCTGTGGGATTCTCAGGCGGGGAGGGGTCGAGCAAGCCAGCAGACTCAAGCGCCTGCTCGCCCTCCGCCACAACAGCGGCCCTCAAAGGTCGCGCAGATTCACCGGCCACTCGAAGCCACTCGTGGCCTTTGAAAGCCGACAGGGCGGTGGGATTGCAAAATCTGGACGTACCATTACACAGATGCTGCAAAGTTGCGCTTGTTCGCGCGCCTGCAAAGCAAGAAATACAGCGCACCTCGTCAGTGCGTTCATTCACATAGAACTTGTGACCATGGAGCGAGAGACGAACGATGGGAGAGACCCTCGGAGCCGAAGGAGGAGGAGGAGGAGGAGGAGGAGGAGGAGGAGGAGGAGGAGGAACATCCGTCCATTTCTTAGTGCGGATCATACGGGCGGCAGCCCATGAAATGTAATCAAGAGCTGCCTTATGATACTGGATCTCGCTTTCAATTGCATCCTTAGAGGAGGAGAAGGAGGAGGAGGAGGAGGAGGAGGAGGAGGAGGAGGGAGGAGGAGGGGGAGGAGGAGGAGGAGGAGGAGGAGGAGGAGAGGAGGAGGCGGCGGCGGCGGCGGAGGCGGAGGCGGAGGCGGAGGCGGAGGAGGAGGAGGAGGAGGAGAGGAGGAGGAGGAGGAGGAGGAGGAGGAGGAGGAGGAGGAGGAGGGAGGAGGGAGGAGGAGGAGGAGGAGGAGGAGGAGGGAGGAGGAGGGGGAGGGGGGAGGGGAGGGAGGGGAGGGGGAGGGGAGGGGAGGGGGAGGGGGAGGGGGAGGGGGAGGGGAGGGGGAGGGGGAGGGGGGGGGAGGGGGAGGGGGAGGGGGAGGGGGAGGAGGAGGAGGAGGAGAGGGAGGAGGAGGAGGAGGAGAGGAGGAGGAGGAGGAGGAGGAGGATGAGGAGGATGAAGAGGAGTAGGAGGAGGCGGACAAGGAGGAGGCGGACAAGGAGGAGGAGGAGGAGAGGAGGAGGAGAGGAGGAGAGGAGGAGGAGGTGGAGGAGGAGGAGGAGGAGGATGCGGAAGAGGAAGAGGCAGGAGGAGGAGGAGGAGGAGGAGGAGGAGGAGAAGGAGGATGGGGGAGGAGAGGAGGAGGCGTCGGGACGAGCAGAGAAACGAGGAGGATGGGGAGAAGGAGAAGGAGGAGGAGAGGAGGAGGAGGGAGCAGGAAGGATGCAGAAGAGGAAGAGGCAGGAGGAGGAGGAGGAGGAGGAGGAGGAGGAGGAGAAGGAGGATGGGGAGGAGGAGGAGGAGGAGGAGGAGGCGTCGGGACAAGCAGAGAAACAGGGAGGATGGGGAGAATCAGAAGGAGGAGGAGGAGGAGGAGGAGGAGGAGGAGGAGGAGGAGGAAGGATGAAGAAGAGGAGGAGGCAGGAGGAGGAGGAGGAGGAGGAGGAGGAGGAAGAGGAGGAGGAGGAGGGAGGAGGGGGACACGCACCCGGCTACTCGAGTGTGCTTCATCGCCGAACCGCTCTGCTCGGCGAGACACGGTGGCGCATCCAAGGGGCCAGTGAGACAAGTCGCCTCTGCTGATACACGGCAACGTCTCGACGTGCCCCACGAGCCTTGCTTTCAGGGCTCATTTCGATTCCTCCGATCCGATTTCATTCAATTTCGTTGGCTTCCAGTTACGATTCGATTCGACTTAGGATGCCGATTTGGGCTCCGATTTCTCATTGGAGGCATACTAGCCTGCCGATTTCAGCCGATTCGGCGTTTCCCGAGAAGAGTGCCGATTTCCGCCGATCCGATTCATTTCGATCGCCGATCCGACTTATCGATTCGATTCTGGGCTCCTGCGTGCCGCACGAGCCCAGTTTTTGCTGCGAAGGCCCCGTGGCATTTCTGGGTCAGCGTCCTGGCCCCCAGGAACTCGTGGGTCAACCTGAGGAAACTGTGCGCCTAACGTAGGCAATCTTCAGGGCGCTTAGGGAAAGAAGGAAGGCCGAGAGGAAGCAAGGAGAGAGGGAGACGGAAGATAGACGCCACAATCAAAGCATAAGGTATGCACGATACCGAGAATACCCGCAACCTGGAAAAGGGTGTAATGCCGTCCGGCATGGGAGTTCCAGATCCACGTCCACCCGTCGCACCCCCGCCGGATGCAGCGGGTGAACACTTTTTTTCCGAGCTTCTGCCACCTCCTGCACCTGCACCCGCGTTTCCTCCCTGCCCCTGGCTCAACACGCCCACGGGCCCGATGACGGGGGAGGTGCCTGGGCAACGCGCGCTCGCCGCCGCGTCCGAGGAGGGCGGATGGCCGCCAGAGAGAACGGAGGCTTGGGCTCCTCCCCCGCGCCGAAATGAAGAGCCTTGGCCCCGCCCTTGAGCAGGAGTTTGAGTGGGAACCCCACGAGGAGGCCTGCAAGGCTTGAGCCAAATGGCTGCGGACGGAGGAGGAGCAGGAGGAGCATGAGGAGGAGGACGACGTGGACGAGGGGGATGAGGAGGACCTTCGACACACATTGGCCTATCCCACCTCCGCCTCGCGGGGATGGGCCGATGCAGCGTCTTTTAAAAACCTCGTTCTGGAGGGAGCGTTGGGTGGTGCTGGTGGTACGGGATTCGAGTCGAACTGTCATTGTCATCCGTCGGCGGAGCCGACGGTCTTCTTGTTTATCTCTGCGCCGCCCACGCGCCCATCTCAGGGGCAACGACAGGGGGGGATAGGCATAGGAGGAGGCGGAGGAGAAGGAGGAGGAGGAGAAGGAAGAGAAGGAGGAGGAGGAGGAGGAGGAGGAGGAGGAGGAGGAGGAGGAGGAGGAGGAGGAGGAGGAGGAGGAGGAGGAGGAGGAGGAGGAGGGGAGGAGGAGGAGGAGGAGGAGGAGGAGGAGGAGGAGGAGGAGGAGGAGGAGGAGGAGGAGGAGGAGGAGGAGGAGGAGGAGGAGGAGGAGGAGGAGGGAGGAGGAGGGAGGAGGAGGAGGAGGAGGAGGAGGAGGAGGAGGGAGGAGGAGGAGGAGGAGGAGGAGGAGGAGGGAGGAGGAGGAGGAGGAGGAGGAGGTCTTCTTCTTGTTTCTCTCTGCGCCGCTCCCCCCCTCCGAGAGAGCCAGACCGCCACGCGGGAGAGTACACCGGCCTTCGAGGCAACGGGGAGGGGCACAACCCTCCCAGACGAGTAGTGTTAGACCCCCAGGCCAGCCATGCAGGAAGGTCTGTTGCCCAGACCCCCCATATAACCCTCCAGGACGGCTCAAATCGGGCCCCACCCCAAAAGAGATCCTCTCCTTTTATCCTGACATTCGGAGTACACAGGCTTCGGACTTCGATGGGCGCCAGGTTTCCTGTGGTACTGGACCCCCCTCCGACACCCGAAGCACGTTGGGGGCGGCGCCAGAGGCGCCGCCCAGGGGTGCGGGTTGGGCGCCGCGTGCTGGGGCCTTTTGGGCCCCCTGCAGGGGCCCTTTGGGACCCCAAAGGGGGCCTCGAGGGCCCGAAAAGTGCACCTTTCTCCCCCCCCCCATTCATCGCCCCCCACTAACCCACGCCCAATGCGGGGAACGGTGCCTAGATGCTGGCGGAGAGGCCGTCGGACTTCCGAAGTCCCCCAGTCAGGCTCCGCCGAAGGCTTTTTTTTGTAACTTGCTTCTGGAGAGGCGGTGGGTGCGGGGCCGGCGCTGGGCGACCTTCCCAGGGTCCTCCTCCTCCTCCTCCTCCTCCGCCTCCTCCTCTCCTCCTCCTCCTCCTCTCCTTCCTCCCCCTTCCTCCTCCTCCTCCTCCTCCTCCTCCTCCTCCTCCTCCTCCTCCTCCTCCTCCTCCTCCTCCTCCTCCTCCTCCTCCTCCTCCTCCCTCGGGTTCCTCTGTCCTGGTTCCTTGGTTCCCGGGTCTTGGCTCCTTGGCTCCCAGATCCCGCATGTTTGGTTGGTTCCTTGGTCTTCGTTCCCTGCTGCCTCACCCCGCAGTGCCAAGCCATACCAGGCAGCGCCAAGCAATGTCAAGCAATGACCGCGCCTACGGTAGGCTCGCGTCGTGTCGACCGGCGGCGACCCCGCCGCCGGCGTTCAATGTTGAACGCCGCCGGAATACCAGGCAGTGCCAAGCAATGCCAAGCAATGAGCACGCCTACGGTAGGCTCGCGTCCTGTCGACCGGCGGCGACCACGCCGCTGGCGTTCAACGTTGAACGCCGCCGGCGACCCAGAGTCGGTCGATGTTGAACGATCTGACGGTTCGGAAACGGCCGATCGTTCAAGATTGAACGGTCCCCGCGGTGTCAGGAGCCAAGACCGGGGTCAACACGACGCGGACCCGCTGCATGCAAGAGGAAGCCTTCCCCTAGTCGGGGTCGCGCCGGGTTCGTTTTGTCTGCTTACTCTTCTGGCCTCCTATACACCATTCCGAAGCCCATTCCTGCCCCGCGTTGCTTCGCAGCCTCGTCCTGCTGGACGCAGGCGGCCTGGGGGCCCGCATGCCGCGCTCGGTGGGGCCGAGCGTGCATGCCGCCAGAGCTCGGACGGCCGGGCCGTGCCATCCCTCCAAAAGCACCCCCTCCCTGCCTGAGTTCGAAGGCGGCTGTCTCCCGTTTCCCTCCCTCGCCTCGCCTCTTCTCGGCCTGCCTTCGTTTCTTAGACGCGAAAAAAATTCAAAAATAAAAAACCCTTCAAACATTGCCTACGCTGGGCGCACCGTTTCTTCGGGTCGGTCCAGGGAATCCTGGGGGTTAGGAGGCGGACCCAGAAATTCCAAAGGGTCTTCGCAGCAAAGGCTGGACTCGTGAGGCCCCGCTTCCTCTCCAGCTCTCCCGAGCTTTCTTCATTCGCCCCTTTCCTCCCTCCCTTCTCTCTGGCCCATCTCCTCATTTTACCTCTCCCTCCTCATGGGAAGCTGGCGCTTGTTCCTACTAAGGTGGCCACTATGGCAGCATGTGCCCAGTTTGATCTTGCACTACACTGGCAGGATCATTCCAGTCGTTGTCCTGCTTCCCTTTGCGTGTTATCTTCTTGTCCACTCGCTTGCGTCACCCAGTGCTGCGAAGGCAAGGTTGTTAGGTTGTTACAGCGAGCGTGCGCCAATCGATGGAGTTGCCTGGTCGTGGCTCTCGTTTGGAATCGCGCCGATGAGGCGATGTTTCTCCTCGCGCGGCGCGCGTTCCTTCGCCTCCTTCGCCTCCTTGCTGGCGCTCGCAGCAGTCGGGACCAGGGCGGGGCTATGGAAGGGCTTGTCACCCTCGTCAGGGAGGTCTGCGAAAAGGACGTGCTGTCGTCGACCAAGCTGGAGGACTTCGCGGAACCCGCGTTTGCGAGCAGCGCCAGACACGCACGGAATCAGCTGCTGAAGTGCGGCACGGCACAATCGCCACGCTGGTGTTGCAGTCGGAGGCCGGGACGAAGTTTGTGCAGGGTCTTCTTTTGGTTCCAGCGCCGCTGTCAGGCACCTGCGGCCATGCGTCCAAGCTACAGCCCAAAGATGGCACCGCTGGAACAGACCCTTGCTGACGAGGACGAGGCGCAGCCGTTGATGGCACTGGACTGGGTGTGGCCGCACCCATGGAGCAGCCGCCGATCTCGCGTCCAGCGACCACGCCGGAGCGGGACACAAGGACCGAGAACGCCGACTGGTGCCAAGCGAAGGTGGGGCAGAGCAGATAGAGGTGTGCAGTCCACCCGTTGAACCAAGGACCATCTGGCCCTTTGATGTTCGCAAGGGGCTTGAGGCTCCCCGGGCACTCCCTCAGCGACGGGCGCTCCTCTTGCCCCCAGGCGCGGGCGAGGTCGAAAGGGGCATCGTTCCTTGCGGCAAGACTCTGACCGCACCCGGGGGCGGTGGAGCCCGACGTCGAAGCCAGCCCGCGCGAGGATCCGCCAAAGAGCACGGCGACGATCAAAACTCCAGGCGGCGTGGTGCGGCGCGGGCTGTGGGCCTGGCGACTGGCCACGGCCGCCGCGAGATGATGCCGAGCGGTGCGCTTCGCGCTGCCTCGCGGCCACAGAGGCAGCAGGAAGGAAAGGGGTCCCGGAGCGAAGTGGTCCTGTGGGAGGCTCCGCAGCTTTTTTCGGGCTCCGGGGGGCCCCTCTTGGGGAAGAACGGCTCGGGTTGAAGAGCAGGTCCCAGGGGAAACCTCGGGGTCCACGACCCGGTTCCGCCAAGAGCCTTTTCGCTCGCGATTTCTGGTGTTCCCTGAATTTGCGGGCGGCGTCGAAGGAGAGCCAGTGCTGCTCGTGCCGCCCGCTCGCCTCCCCGTCCCGCCTCCTCTCCTTGCTCCTCTCTCCGCGCTGGCTGCGTCGCTTCTGTACTTTCCCGCTCCACGCCAGTGTTCTCGATCCGGGGCGGGTATTTGCGGTGAGCCGGCACGACCGCCGCAAGAAGGGGCCGAGGCTGTGGTTCGGGTTCGGGATCGTCCGCAGCGCCTCGAAAGTTAAGTCGGGCCTGTCCCTCGACAGGAGGAATATTCAAACAGTTGTTTTTAGTAGGGGGACCATTTTTTAAGCATGTTTGAATATCTGTTGCGTATGTTTGGGGTATTTTTCTTTTTCGCCCCAAAACCCCCCTGCAGGGGGACAGGCCCGACCTAACTCTCAAGCGCGGGCGCCAGGCTTCGGTTGGCGGCCAGCGCTGCGCGTGGGTTGCAGAGCCTGGCTGGGAGCGGAAGGCGCTCGGCACGAAGGGAAGCGAGCAGCTGCCGGCACAGTGGCACAGAGCACGTCGAACCCCCCGACCCGACCGACGGTCCTCCGTGGTCGCCCGCGCGGCACCAGTTCAGTTCGGCGGCCGTGTCGCTCCGCATCCCCATCTTCGATCTCCTCCCCCTCTCCTCGCCTCCCCTCCGCCCTCTCCTGCCTCGTTCCCCCCTCCTCGTTCCTCCCTCCGCCCTCGGCTCGAGGGCCTCTTTAGCCAGCGCGTAGCCACGACACGAAGCGATCAGCACTACCGTTGCTCGCATCGCGAGACTGAGCACACGCCTTCCAGCGTGTGACTGACTGCATCCCACCACCACCCGCTGGTGACGAGGCGACAGTGAACATACCAGTGACACGAACGCTACCAGGCGACGAGTCACTTGAACCAGATTCGTTCTACAGTGACTCCACTGATGGTGACGCTTGGCTGTTCGGCCCAATTCTCGACGAAGGCCCCGAAGGCAGCCGCAACGGTCCTCCCTTGTCACCATGTATCGTTTGCGCCCTCGGCATCATCATGAGCCTTGGCATGGGGGCCTCCCACAACGAGTCATCCCACGGGCCACCTAGGCGGCACTGTGACGAGAGGGCCCATCATCATTGAAAGCAACAACCACGAGAGGTCACCAGACCTTTCTGATACTTTCCCATCGGCGTTACCTATGCGCTTCTCGAATTCCTCATCGGCGCCTTCGGGAAAGTTGGAACCATTCAAGGCATTCGTTTGTGCCTTTCTTGGACATGAGCGATAGGGGGCCACCAAATCGACGAAGGGGGGCCGCGAGCGGCAGAATTGGCTCCCCACGGGCTGACCACAATCTCGGCCGCCACCACGGGCCTGAGCCGGTCGCAGCGGAGCTTTACTTTGTATCGTGGTCGCCCGTGCATGGGAGTCAGCAGTGCGGGCAGGCCGCCCTCGCCGTCAATGCAAACGAGCCACACGCAATACCGCCAGCTCCACGGCGAAGGACAAATTCCCGCTGCCACACCCAACCCTACCACGAACGGCCATGAGGTATTGATCTGCGTCTCATTAGGACACACCACCATTAGGTATCGATCTGCGTCTCATTTTTGACCGAATCGGCGGCAGCATCGGTCAAGCGAGAGACACCGCTTTCCGAGCTGGCCTCTTGGCCAAACAAATCACTGCCCAAACGCATTTGGAAGCAGCAGTCGTCAGTGTAAGCCCCATTCTTCGGCAAGGCCTATGGCCCACTGCGGGCCTTCGCACTGCTGAAGGGCGCCTCGGACACGGAACATTGGGCGTTCTGCTTTGTCGGTGCTACGGAAGGGGAACTGGGGCCACGACGCTCATCTGGCAAAAATGCTCCAAACCCTGGCTTCATTGAACCTTGTGTTCAACAAAGGACGGGGGAAGTTGCGCTCCCCACCGCCACGCTCCACGCCATCGTTGCAGCCGCGAGGAGCGGCTGGCGGATGAGGCGACATTGAGGCCGGCCGCAGCCAGGGCGCACTCCCGTTCCCGTGGTCAAAGCCACAGCCGCAGCCGCAGCCTTCGCACCCGCCGAAGCAGCACCAGTCCTGCTGACAGGGTGGCAAGCGTGAAAAGGCCACCAGACCGCCCGACCACACTTGTACTGCAGTGTGTTGGAGGTGGTGACGACGAACGCACCATTCCACCCACGCCAGAAGCGGACTAAGCGTCTGGAGACGAGCCGCGAAGGGGCGACGACGGGGCCTGACGGCCACCCGCGCCATCGCGGGAACCTGCTCCCGCGGCAGCCACGAGCGAGGCGATCAACGCCACGCGGCTACCAAATATTTACAACTTCAAGCCCCAGGGAGCCCAAGCCCCAGGTGCGGCGAACGAGGGCACCGCACCCCCGAACCCCGAGTCAATTCCTCGACCCCATCACTGATAGAAGCTGGGCGCGCGACGCTACGGCCAACGCGCGAGAATACATCCGAGGATATTGTTGCACAGGCCCAAGAGGGGGGCAGCGCGAAACCGACCCGACGAGCCACGCCCCTAATATCGCCAGATTCCCCGTCGCGCAGCGGACCAGTGGCATCGTGTGAGCCAGGGCATGCGCCGCCAAGATTGGGTGCACCATCTCCCCCTGGCTGACATGTGACCTCGAGAGGCCTGCAGAAATCGCCGATCAACCCGATTTTTTCTTCCACATTAAGTCTGCGAGCCTCCAGCGCGCGCAGCGGTGGATGGATCTTGATCCCAGGGCCAGCGCGAGAACTTGCGGGGCAGTGGTCGTTGCGCCGGGCCCACGCCAGCACGCGCCCCGCATGCGCAGCTCACAACTGCGTTCGAACGCCACTCATCGCGACGGCGGATTCCCCGGGCCACGCCAGGGGTGAAGGGCCTGTTGCAGCGCTGCGCTGCGAAGCCAGTCGAATCCCGACCGGCGCGGGCGACGACAAACCGTCGCCCAGAATTGCAGCCTGACAGCCACCCCGCTGGGCTCATCTACGCAGGTCCTCCAGTTCTTAGTTCGCTTGGGCGTGGCGGGCTTAGAGACGGCCCCTCCGTCGTCGGAACATTTCGGGGCCCCTGCGGCGCGGGCGAGCGCGCCCGGGACACGATCGCGGCGGGGGCCCCCGATCGCGCCGCCCACGAGACCGCGGACGTCTTAGATGGCAGAACCGCCCGAGGCGAAGCTAAGGATACTCGAGGCGACGCGGGCCCGGGTGGCCAGACCCCCAGGTCTAGGCGGCGTCAATCGACAACATCGCAACCGCCCAAGTAGGAGAATGTCCCCTGGCGGGAACCCGAGTTCGAGCCTGACTGTGCTCTCCGCAAATCTTGCGGCACCGCCATGTTATACCCAGACAACATCATCAACGGCAACCATGCGTTCATTAAGTTGTCCCATTCGCGTTTTCTGCACGCCGCCTCAGGGATGACGGCGGAACAACGGGAGACACTTGCCGTCATAAATGCCACGGAAGTCATTGCTGCAACGCACCGTGGT